CTGTAATGATGGTGTTAACCGGTTTGATTGTATTTGTCAGCCTGGCTACTCTGGCGTCACATGTGGATCAAGTGAGTATATTACCAACAATAGAATTTATTAAAATGATGCTTCCAGACTGTTTAAAATTATACATAAATTTTTAACTAAAATTGAAAATCTTCTTGCATGCAAACGTGCAAATCTTCAGCAGCAAACTTAAAATAACTTCTTAGTTTCTTTTGAAATTTATTTACTTTTATTTATTCATTTTGTAATTTTTTTTCTTTTAATTAATTTGTTTATAAACATTATATGCATAGTATTAGATATTATCATCAGAAATAATATTAATTTTTAAAAATTATGTATGTGTGTATGTAATTAGGTATGTGTATGTCATCTTTACACAATTTCTTTATTTATGTCAGTATAATGTGAGTTTGTGCATTCTCTTAAAAAGACAAATTGATTTCGTAGGTGTGAAATATATACAAGGATAACCCATGGTATTCTGAATAATTATGTCTAGTGGGGTCCTTCTGGTGGTAAATTGAGATGTAAACCACGAGACAATCCCCTACTCTTTTCCCAAGAAACTACTCTGTACTTGTACGTGCACACAGGCCATATTGCACATAGGACCAACAGCTTAAACATTTCATCCGAAAGACTGCGTGCTATTGAAATCTGGAAGGCTGAAATGCAAGAAGTGCCATCAATAGTATTCAACCAGGCACAGAGGTTTTGTAAAGATGTCCATGGTTCAGCACACACAGAGTAGCTACCTTCAGTGTAGCCAACTGAACTAAGCTGCTCTTTTTGTAATTTGAAGGAAGCACTCTTAGATGAAATATACTAAACTAGTTTCATATTAATGACTGTCAATAATGATGTTTCTTCCTAGATGTGAATGAATGCTCAAGTAACCCATGTCAGTTTGGTTCCTGTATTGATGGCGTCAACGGCTACTTCTGCCAGTGCTTTTCCGGATACATTGGAACACATTGCGAAAATGGTAACAAACATAACCTATTGTAGCAGGGATGGCAAAAAATTTTGTTAGAGGGCCAAAGTGTATTTTTGAATTAATACTGAGTGCTGCACCTTTGACATTTAAAAAAAACCTTCATGCACTTCTTTATACCCATTTATACTCTGTTTTAATATTACTTTTACAGATAACAGTTTTGGGCCATACAAAAAAGGGGTTTTCTAGCCAAAGATAGTTGGCAGGCCACACACATAGGGTTGTTGCAGGCTGCAACAAAATTGCTGTTTGGGCTGCATGTGGCCGCAGACCACACTTTGCCCACCTGTGCTTCAGTGGCGGCGCCAGCGGGGTGGGGGGGGTGGTCAAGTGCTGCACCAAGACTAGAACCAAGGACGTAAAATTCGATTCCAGTGCATTTTAATCATTGCCGATTATCATCTGTATATTACACATGAGGTTAATAGTAATTTCTATCCCTTTCAATCTGTTTGTTTTTTAAGATATCAATGAGTGTAACTCCAACCCATGTAAGAATGGAGCGACATGTGCTGACCATCCCAATAGCTATACTTGCCGGTGTACCTCAGGTTGGCAGGGTATCAACTGTGATGTTGGTGAGCTCAATTGATTAATAATTGATAGGTGATTGATTGATTGTTGATGGATTGTTGATTGATTGATTAATTTATGGTTAATAGGTAATTGATTGATGATTGATAAGTTATTGATTTATGATTGATTGTTGATTGATTAATTGATGATAGTTAGGTGATTGATTGATGATTGATATGTGATTGATTGATTGATTATTGATAGGTGGTTGATTGATGATTGATATGTTATTGATTGATTGATGATTGATTGAGTGATTGTTGATTGATTACTTGATAATTGACAGGTTATTAATTGATGATTGATAGGTGATTGATGATTGATAAGTGATTGATTGATCTGATTGATTGATGATTGATTAATTGATTGATAGCTGATTGATTTGATGATTAATTGATTGCTTGGTGATTGATGATTGATTGATAGGGAATTGATTGATGATTGATTAATAATTAATTGATTAATAGTTGATTGATTGATTGATAACTAGTAAATATCAACAATTATTAACAACTATTTTTTATATCATTGTTTGATTTTTGGTATTATTTATGTTGTTTTTTGTGCAGAGGTACTTGAATGTGCAAGTTCACCATGTCGCAATGGTGGTACCTGTGTTGATGCGGTCAATGGATATTTTTGTCAATGCACCAGTGGCTGGTTAGGGGTCAACTGTGAAACAAGTAAGCTATGCTTCATTAGAGTGCAGTGGGTACACCTCATGCACATGCTACTATAATCTTAATTCACAATTTCATACTAAAGTACATTCTTTGCTAATGCTGACCTCATGTTTGTTACAGTTACTGGGGACAGTTATTACTTGCAGTACTAGTATAATGTTTTTTATTTCACAGTTAAAAAGTGCTTTTTTATCCCTGGTCATTGAGTCCCCATATCTAATTGTTGCCTTATTGGCGCAATAGTAGGCAACCCCAAAAGAAACCCATTTACATTCTCGAGTGGAGAGATGCAGTGCAGATAATTTCCTTGCTAATGACACCAGCATAATTCGCAGCAAGGAATTAAAACCCCGGCTACTAGATTTGCAAAACCAAACTGGTTCTGCTGCACCATACTGCTGTGTAGATAATTTTATTTTAAACATTGCTTTCTCTTTATGCTATCACATATTTTAATACCTTTTGAAAATATTTGTCTTTTATAGATCAAAATGAGTGTCTATCAAATCCCTGCCAGAATGGCGCCACCTGTACTGACCGTGTGAATGGATACACCTGTTCCTGCCAACCGGGTTGGGTTGGTACTACTTGTAGTGAAGGTAAGTTGTCTATTTTGTATAGTTAATTCCTGAATAGAATAATTAATTCCTAAATTTTGTTTCTTTATATTATTGTGATCATTTCTTTCATGTTTTGGCTTCAATTCTTCTTTTTTTTTTGTTTGTCCATTTCATTTGTTATTACATATGTTTAATTTTTTAATTAAATTAAAACCATCCAATGTTGCTGCCAGTAAATAACAAGTGTTGACCTTTGTGCTATCTTTATTAGATTATGATGATTGTAGTGGAACTGTATGCTTCAATGGAGGAACTTGTCGGAATCTCCAGAATCGATACGAATGTGATTGCGTTGCTGGTTATACTGGGGACAACTGCGAGAGTGGTCTGTATAATTATGTTGTTTTCCACCAACCCAGAATTAATAGTAATATGAGGATGGTGTTCGTCAGGGATAGTTTTTATTTAACATCATACAGCATTTCTATTTCTAGCTCTAAATCTTTATGAAATACTGGGAATGATATCTGGTGGGGATAGTTTTTACCATTTAGTTTACATCACTTTTTTAGCCCGGAAAATTAGAATCATAAATACTGGGTGTCTAGTGGAGGAGGTTTTTTTCCGGTTATTAATTGTTTATTCTGCATTAAATCTTATTTGTATTTATTTAATGTTTAATGCATAAATTTTTAATTAATTATTAATTATTAGTTTAGTTTTATTAATAATATTTTTCTTTATAGATGTTGATGAGTGTCAATCATTTCCTTGTCAAAACAATGGCCATTGTACCAATCTCATCAATCAATTCTCTTGTCAATGTATCAACGGATGGACAGGGGAAACCTGCACAGTCGGTTAGTCGCAAGAAACACGTTATTGCATATCACTCTCATAAAATTGGGTGTTATTTTGTTCTTTTTAAATAATGTGTAGGTACTTTGAAGTTCCTAAAAAGTTTTATAGCTTATTACATTATTCTATAAGTTTTAAATATATGGAGCTAGATTATTTCCTGTTTTGTTGGTTTGTATTATGATTTTTACCGTTTTAACTCTGAATGTTGGATGTATTTTGTGCTAAAAATAATCTGTATCTGTAATCTTAGTATGATTGTAACTGCCAGAAGTGATGAAATATGTGATATTTTTTTTATCCTAATATTGTAAAAAGGCCAAAGTGTTGGTACACCCCTGTTAGGCCTAAAAAAAAAATGTTTGTCCCTCCAACCATGAAAACTGTGTCGATAAAATGCCTCCTATGTTACCTTTACACTATATAGCCCAAAAGATTTTTTTTAATTTTTACCCCCCAAAATGCCTCTGAGACATTGTTGATGCCTCCTACTACCAGTCGCGTGGCTGTGCACTTTTTCCAGCCCTGCTAAATTTGTAGTAGGTCACCACTACTACTACTACTACTAAATCCTTTCCGAGCCACTGGGGCTCATAGGGCTGGAGCTTATCCCCAGTTTCTGTAGTGTGAAGCGGATGAGAGTTGTACTCCCCCTTGACGGGACACTAGTCCATCGCAGGTTAGTCCCAAGCAGTTTGCTGGTACCCATTGATACAGCTGGGTGGACTGAAGCAATGAAGTAAATCTGCACAGCGGGGAGACTCGAAACCCCGACCTTACGATTGAAAGCCCAAACCTCAACCGCTGTGCCAAACTGCCGCTACTTGTAGGTCACTACAGCATCTGAATATTGAATATTTTTTACATATACTGTATTCAGATTATGGTATATTAATGTATATTTTGATATTTTTGCTAGATGTGAATGAGTGTTTCAATGCACCATGTCGGAATGGTGGGAATTGCATCAACCTCCAGAATCGCTTTGAATGTCAGTGTGCATCTGGTTGGAAGGGAGACACATGTGATGGGGGTATGTACTAGTTACTGTCTATGAATTCATTGTTCCAACTATACTCTCCACTATCTTCTTCTTCCATCCCCTCCCTCCAGATCCACCATTCATCTCTGCCATCCTCCTTAACTCCATCCTTTTTTATAACCTCTCTCCACCTTCCCATTATCTCCACCCAACTCCATCTTTTGAAACCACCCCTTTTACCTTAAGTAACTCCTCATGATATATATCCCCTCTGGGGATTTAGAGGGTTATCCCTGATACCACATGATTTTACTCATTTTTATATTTATGTCATTTGCAAACTGTTTTGTATGTTTTATATATGGTATTGCAATAAATCAAATAAAAACCCTCTCTTTACCCTTCTCCATCTAACTTCATCCTCTTTTACCCTTCCTCTCCATCATCTCCGCTGCACTTATATCTTCTTCCATTTTCAATTACTGATGGGCTGATGTTGTTATGAATTTTATAATTCATATTACAATGAATCTTGAATTCAAAAACTAGGCTGAGGCTCTATGCTGGCACGATGCTGTACTAAAGTGCATTGCACTGCTGTGCTTTTTTTTGGTATGGTCACTATGATGATGCCAAACATCTAACACAGCAAACAATTGTGTAGCTGTTCTACTGAGCCTAGTGCAATACATAATCCTTTGGACCTTAAAATAATAAAGAAAATATATCTATCAAAGGTAAATGAATCTAAGTTACTAGACTAGACTTGTGCTTAGTATAGGCCTGTCTACAAAAACATGTGATATGCCTAAATATGGTCATGATGACATCACATGACCAAATATAGGCTTATCATAATTATATATGAGCATATAATAATGATGACATCACACAACTATAATTTGGACAGAGCTTAAGCCTTTTGAAATTGGTTCACGTTTGACCCACAGATGTGAACGAATGCGAAAGTTTCCCGTGTAGAAATGGAGGGGTGTGTTTAAATCTCAACGATGCATTCATGTGTGTATGCCCTGTGGGGTTCACTGGTCTCATGTGTGACACGGACGTGAATGAGTGCATAAGTTCTCTGTGCCTGAATGGAGGAACCTGCAATAACTTGAACAACGCTTACAGCTGTAACTGTAACCCTGGATGGATTGGAGAAAATTGTGGAATTAGTAAGTAAACAAAATGCCAGATAAATAAATGCATGTGGAAAAGATTAGCTTAGTAGCTAAGTCAGCTAAACTGGTTGTATCCACTGTGTTTGCACTGAATCGTCGAGATCTCTTGGTCCGGTTCAATTACCATTGCTACTCTCCTTGTATTTCAGCCGGAGAGCAGAAATGCATGTTAGGGTAGCGCATTGTCTTTCAGATGAGAAATTTAGGAAGTTTGTTCTGTGTGCATTATGGCCCATGTGCAAGAATGCAGTACTCTCTTAAAAAAAGTGTAGGGATTGTTTCCCGGTGGACTGCCCAATAGCACCAGAAGGACCCCACTAGAAATAAGTCTTTTTCAGACTTTTGTGGATTATTCTTGGTGCTTACACCGAATAGATCCATCCACCCATTGAATGTTCTACACAGGCATTAATTAAACTAATGTATTTTTACAAGTTGCAAGATTTTCAGTTAATTTATATAGATTATATATTTTTCTTATAGTATTCTTATATTTACCTTCCTATGTATTTGTATGTACTATTTGAGTGCCTCTTTGAGTCAGCTTTGTTGTAAGAGCAACCATGTGAAATATTGTTGAATAGATAAATAATACATGTATGTAATGTTCTTACTGAAATATGCAAAACTAAAAAATATTGAGTAACAAAATTCCGGGACAAAATCGACCTGTGGTCATGTCTACTTACTAAAACCTGGTTTCCATAAATGTCGCTACACGCTATCGCCTACTCCTTTTGATGATGCTGATTGGTCAGTTGAATCAGGAAGGGTTTCTTATTACCTTATGGACAGCTACGCAGTGCAAGGATTGCAGTGAAAACTCTGTAGCGACTGTGTAGCGATTCAATGGAAACGCTGTGTAGCGATTCAATGGAAACGCTGTGTAGTGATTCAATGGAAACGCTGTGTAGCAATTCTAGGGAAACAAAGCTTTGTGAACCCTATATACAATCATTTGTTCTACCACACATTTATATATTCTATTATATTCTTTTGTAACAATTTTCTCTGTTTTTTTCACAGATCTTAATGAATGTAGTAGTAGCCCTTGTTTCAACTCTGGGACTTGCATCGACCAGATTAATAGTTACGATTGTACATGCTCTGCCGGATGGATTGGAACGAACTGTGAAACAGGTTTGTAACAAGAAAATATTAGAATTTGTTTCTTGTTTTTATATTTTAATTTTATCAGACTGTATGAGTGTTCCAGTAACCCATATCAAGTGTTTTTTTTCCTTCATCAGACTTTAATGAGTGTTCTAGCAACCCCTGTCAGAATGGAGGGCGCTGTAACAACCAGCAGAATATGTTCACCTGTACATGTGCTGATGGATTTTCAGGCATTTTTTGTCAAGCAAGTAAGTAGCATGTTTGTCTGCTGATAAATATTCAAATCATTGTAAAGTAGGTTGGAAGGATTTGAATCAGCTTAAAAAAAGCTGTAAGCTAACAAGGTGCCACCTGGCCTATAGCCACCTGGTCTGTTGCCACCTGGCCAGCTGTTGTGAAAAGGCCTCTCGCAATCTGGCTGTTGTCACATAACATGTGGCCACTCACCATCCTAATTTGTGGCCACATGGACTGGTGCTAGGCTACTTCTCTGGAGCATTGGTAACTAATATTGCCGTAAGGCCTGCTCCTGCCTAACATTTCGAGTTTCATTCTTAGCACCTGTATTATTTCTTTTGCCAACAGATGATGATGAATGTGCATCAAATCCATGTTTAAACATGGGGACATGTCGCGACAGCACCAATGCATACCAGTGTGATTGCCCTAGTGGTTGGACTGGAAGCCATTGCGAACTAGGTCAGTAAGGGTGTCTTTAGTTCAAAATATATCAGTAAATTAAAATAATAAACAGATTATTTAAAGAGATTAGGTAAACACTCAGCTTTGAGCTCCTCAGAGTCAATGGCCAATCATTATTTATTATCATCATCATCATCATTATTATCATTATTATTGTTATTGTTATTATTATTATTATCATTATTATTATTGTTATTATTAATATTATCATTATTATTATTATTATTATTATTATTGTTATTATTATAATTATTATTATTATTATTATTATTATTATTATTATTATTATTATTATTATTATTATTATTATTATTATGTTACTAAAACCTACCTTAAGGTGAACTTATTCCCCTTAAGTCCGACTTAGCACATATTATTATTATTATTATTATTATTATTATTATTACCATAATTATTATTATTTTATTTTATTGTTATTTGTATTTTCTTGGTTGGCCTATATTATTTCTGTGTAAAACTCATAGGGGCAATGTGCAATATGCGATATAAATATAACCTTATTATTATTTATTATCTGTTGTATATATCAGATGTAAACGAGTGCTCAAGCTTTCCATGCCGGAATGATGGTATCTGTATAGATGGAGTCAATGGATACATTTGTTCCTGCACCCCTGGATGGACTGGCACATTCTGTGATGTTGATATTAACGAGTGCCAGAGCTCTCCATGTCAGAATGGTGCCAACTGCGTCAATGGACGCAACAACTACCGTTGTACTTGTGTTGCTGGTTATGTTGGGATAAACTGTGAAACAGGTTTGTGTTATTGATCGCTCACCTCTCAAATTGGAAATTGTTAAAATGTGGACACCTTCGGGACCAATAAATGTGTCCCTTTTAATAGGGGTGTACCCTGAATAGAGTTTGGCCGTAGTGTTAAAAAATATACCTTTCCTCGTTTAGTGCCCAAAAAAAAGTGTAGGGGTGTCCCCTTAATATGAGTGTCACACAGGAGGGGTTCTACTGTCCTTTCCTTCATTTTGTGGCCAAAAGTGTGTCCCATTAATAGGATGCTCATTTATAAAATGGATGTCCCTTTAATGTTGGTGTTCCATTAATAGGGATGTTCCATTAATTGAGATGTCCCCTTAATTGGGGTGTCCCAAAGATAGGGTTCTACTGTATTTTATGGTTTTATTGGCAAACTAGTATTTATTACAAAGCAAGAATAAGTCTTGATGTTTAATTTTGTTTAGATCGTGATGAATGTGCGAGCAATCCGTGCTATAATGGTGGAACCTGTGTTGACGCTGTCAATAGCTACAACTGCATGTGTACAGGTGGTTGGACTGGAGCCAATTGCGGTCAAGGTACAGTATGTAGAATATGCAAATTCCAAAACTGAATTATACACCTTGCCAAGCTTGATTTTAATGTAATAGAATAGATTGTGGTATATTATCTCAAAACATACAAATTTAATGATCATATGATGTTACCATTGTCTTCAAATCATTTCTAGCTCCACAGAGGAACTCTAGAAACACTGGGCTGATTGTTTATAGTGTATTTTTTGTATGGGCAGCCGTTTAGCCAATATACCTTACTGCTTCTATTACAGTATTCTATTACTGCCCTCATCGGAGCATTCGAGATTATGATAACTTGTTTTTTATAAAATAAAATACTGATAAATAATGAAAGCAGCATACTCAAGCATTCTTCAGTGTCTTGGGATAGGATGATTTTCAGTCTTTTAAATTAAGATATACTGGAATGAAAGTTTCTAAAATGTGAAGTAATTTTAAAATTTACATGATTGTAATTTTTAAAATCTTTGTAATCATTTTAATTTAAATGATTTCATTATTATTTTCATATGTTGACATCGTTATTTACAGATGTAAATGAATGTACCAGTTTGCCATGTCTGAATAGCGGAACTTGCCTCAACCAACAGAATGGTTACTCATGTTCATGTCGTGATGGCTATGCTGGTAAAAATTGCCAAACAAGTAAGTACCAGCATGATTTGGTCTATAAAGACTACCATTATTATTGTTATTATTAAACAAATGAGACCTACCTACATTATAACCTTGTTTTTTAGGAATGATGTTTTGCCCTACCTGACGTCAGGTAGGACAGAATACCACTCCTATGATATTTTCCTAACACACAATCATGCAACAAATTTAGCATTGTAGTACCCTCTGCTAAGTGTGGATCACATTCAACACTAGTCACTATTGCAATCTTGGTGGTCTAGTGATTATACCACCAGGCTATTTATCTGGAGGTCGTGGGTTCAGTTCTCACCTGAATCACTTGCAAATTTTTTTACAAGTGTTTGGAAACGTATTAAGTATTCAGTATAATAAAGCATCAGGAAGTGCAAAACATCACTCCTATAATATTTTGTGATGCAAACACACAATGAAATAACCTTGATTAGATTAACAATATCTTCTATTTGCATTTCTTATAGACATTATTGAGTGTGCATCAGACCCTTGTCTTAATGGTGGAACCTGCTTTGATGGTATTAACATGTACCAGTGTTTCTGTGTAGATGGTTGGACAGGTAGCAACTGCGAAATTGGTAGGTCAACTACATTTCCATAGTTAAAGCAAATCTTCAAGTCAAATTCATTGTAGATTGATTTGTTTAGTTAAATGATTGTTTGATTGATGGAATGATATATTGGTTGGATGACATCACATCATGACCATATATTGGCACATCATGACTACATATGGTCATGATGACATTACATCATGACCATATATAGCCACATCACGACTATATATGGGCATACAACAGTTTTTTGTGAAAATAAATTATTGATTGGATGGTTGATTCATTATATAATTTATTGATTATCATTATTATTATTATTATTATTATTATTATTATTATTATTATTATTATTATTATTATTATTATTGTAATTATCAGTTATATTTTATTGTTACAGTGTTAAATGTTAACACACTGAATGTTTTCTGTTCTTAAAATTTACACAATTAAATAATTATTTTATGATACTATTAACAGCCAACTATGAATGTGCAAGCTCACCATGTATGAGTGGATCTACCTGCATTGACCAAACCAATGGATACATCTGCAACTGCGCACCTGGATGGACTGGTCTTCTTTGTGATATTGGTAGATATTCAGTTTTTTATCTACTTTTTAAAAGCTTATCTTTATCTGCATTCACGTCGAAATTTATCTAGATATCCCGTCTTGAAACATGATACGATAATCCCCTAATTGCGTTCGATGCCAAGTTAGAGCCAGATAAACAGCCAGCCAGTTTCAGGCCGTCGACGTCACACGGTCGAAAGGCTTGTTTGATAAAACATCTACTGTATTTTACGAACCTCTAGTACCAAGTGGTATTCGTTAAAAAAAAAAATGTAAACTACTGTAGAGAAGGTGTGAGTTTCCACTACCTAACCTAGCCGACCAGTATGAACCAACGACCAGTGCAGCAGCGTGTTCTATCGCAATCTAAGTGGTAGATTCTCTAGGCCCTGGCCCTAGCATTTACCTTTGATAAAAAATGAATTATTTTAATCACTAGCAAGCATTCTTCCATTTAACAAAATATTGTTGTAATTTTCATTAAAACGTATGTATACTTTACATTTCTGTCCTGTTTTGTAGTTTTTAGATCGCTCAATTGTGTTGTTTACATGCACTTCGCGAAAATATAGCTTCGCAGGGTCAAAATAAGTTGCTGACTTCCACACACTTTTTTATTTCGTCATCGCAAACATGTGCGCTCATTTTAACGACTGGCGTTGGTGGTAGTTCGTTGAAATTGAATTAATAGCGACTATTATAGCAGAAATAGAAAAGATTGAATTGTCAATAAATATATACAACAAATCTGATTTTATTATTAAGAAAAATATACATTATCACTTTGAAAAACGTACGCAATCAGACTTTTTAACGTTATTACTTGGTCGATGATGCAAAGGGCAAAGGTCATTGGTAATATCGACTATTCGTAAAACGGACGTTTGCTGGGTGTTTACCCAAAATATTACAAATAATTTCTGAGAACCAGACTAATGAGACTACTTCGATGCTGTTGTTAGCATTGTTGAAGTACGTTGTTGCCAGCCAGGAGATGATAATGGTGGTACAATACAACAAAGCTGGCTTAGATGCCTACGTTATGTAATCCTGTCCTTGTAATCCGAGCCGACTTTACCGTTAAGCAAGTTAATTTACCGTTATTCTAGTAAAGTTAAGTCACTTAACTTAAGTGACTTAATTCCTTTAACTAGCTATAATTGAGTGGTTATACAGTCGAGTTCGCCTAAGCCGAATCTAATGGGACTGGCATAAAAAGTTCGAGTTATACAGATTTCGACTTGCACATTTTCGAAAAAAAAATATTAACATAGAACAATACTATGTGTACTCAATGCCCACAAAATCGAATTTCACGCAAAACCGAACATTTTCTTAAGTCCCAAACTTATTCCTATTCTTCTTTTAATAAAATACTTTCCGAAAACATGAACTCCCTATTCCAAATCTCGGACGATTTGTCCAATTCAGGACGGTAACACTCACTCAAAAAAAGATGCTTTTCAAAACATGTTGCTAATTTAATTACTTATTTGTTTTTTGTTTTGTTTTATAAATTTGTTTAATTAAAACATTCTTCATTACACCGAGCTTGTTACTGTCACGCACTATGAAACTTTGGGCGATCTGACGTCATCACAGCCGAAGCACTTGTCTAGTCTGCAAAACACCCCACGAAAATGGACCAATTGGCGGGCAGGAAGAGTTTTTGGGGGCGCGACCTGTTCTGTTTACAACTAGACTGCCTACCAGCAAGCATTGCCCAACGAAGAATGTGTGCTTGGAAAAACATAATCAGACCTAAAGAAATGCACGCAAAAACAATATAAAAGTCGCATCAGTTTTATTGGTAATAATTAAATTTGCTGAGCAGTACAGCAAAATCTTATACACCTGTATTAAATAATGTGTTGAATTTGCGTAGCCTAGGCAGTCAAAAGAATCCAGGGCTTTGATAAATTAATTAAATAGCTAGGCCCTGACTACAACAATCTTGTTCGAAATGGGTTCAGTACAAGTTTTACAAACTAAACTGGACGAAAACTGAACACTGGAGCCGGTCTGGAGGGGTGTCTGTATTGTGAGAGTAGACTGCAACTTACGACATACGATCATGTGAGAGCCAAGTTCCACAGCACACTGTCTGAGATGTTAGTTTGACATGGCTAACTTGTTGCCGTACAATAAGGATTAAACTTCGTATTTTCCCACGGCTGTTTATTTTTCCCACGTGCGCTACTAAATTTGGAACTTCGACTTACTTTAAAATCGGCCTATCCGGACAGGAAAATTCCGTCGATATAGCCGAAATTTGACTTATAAAAATTCGAATTAAACAAACAATTTACACAGTAATACATAGGAAAGTATTGGGACTTACACAGAGTCGACTTTGGCGGACTCGACTGTATAAGAATCAAGAGAAGTTTAAAAAATAAGAAAATTAAGAAAAAAGGTGAAATATCAATACTGCTGTAATGCAGAATGACTGTAATTCAAACAACTTGATGTATTGATGAATAAATATGGTGATTGTTATACCACAAAAGAGAGAAAAAAAGTTTAAGTGACCGATTTTTAAGTGAGTGCTTAAGTATGTAATTACAATGTTTGTTTTTTCCTAGACATCAATGAATGTTCAAGTAGTCCATGTTTGAATGGTGCCACCTGTACAGAAGGTATAAACATTTTCTTCTGTACATGTGCTTCTGGGTGGACAGGCACACTCTGTAACACAGGTGAGATAATAATTTGCATATTAAAAAATCTAAGTTATAAATTAAAAGTCCATTGATTGGGATTAGAAAGCAAACATCTTAACCACTAACCAACAATAACAATTACTTTTAATCAGACTAAAATTCAGAAACTACAAACTGTTTCATGTCAGCGACTACAATGAACACTGCCTCAAATAGACCTTTCCGCTAAGCCCCGCCCCTTGGATATTGTTGCTAAGGTCCCACAAACAACATCATTTTGTAGAAGAAAACATGGCTGGCTGTGCGGTCGCGGGCACAGAGTGGTTGTTGGGTATTCCAGACAATATTTGTTTTACGTTTCTGCCGAATCATAAAAATGTATCAGAAAGTGTCTTAAAAAGAGGTCTAAATTACTATTTGCAAGTATACATTCATATAATTAAAATAATGACACTAAAAGTTGATTGAAATTACTGGCGATTGATGCGGAAGTCTTATTCATCTCCATGGTTTCACATCGAGATTTCAGCATAAAATCTCATCGATTCTTCTTGTTCTTGCAAATCGGGGTAAGGTCACAGGAAGGTTTCGACTTAAAAATTAGGAAACTACATTTATATTAATTATTTTAGGCAATACCTGGTTCAACATGGATTTCACGCCTTCCCGTTCTTGAAATCCACAATCTGGCTTCTCCCTCCCAGGTTCGAGTACAAATAGGCCTAGGGAGGCGTATCCTAGGGAGGCCTACAGCAGGTAGTGATACCGTCACCGGCCTAGTCAGGAGGCTATCTAAATCTGTCAATGATATTTTGACTAATTCTTATACCATCCAGGCCATATGAAAATTAAAATAATCGCTATATAAGATTCGATGTTTCTCCCTGGACATTTTAGAAATGTACACAATCAGAAGAACCAGTCATATTAATTATATAAATCTATATGTTTTTTTTTGTAAACTGCGTATGCTGCATTAAAATTGTAACATTGTTGTACCATTCAGCATGCGGTGGTTGGCAAACGTTATGTAGCAGAATTACAATCAAAACAAAAAGGCATTGAACCAGTGCATTTCATGTAGTGTACAGTATTATTTCTTTTCTAAAGTTATCTACTGTACTGCTATCGAGCCATATTTACTGTACATTGATCTGAGACTAAAATATAAAGGGACTAACTAACCCAATCCATCCATCCATCCACCAATCAACATGGATTTGTATATAAATATGTTCAGTAAAGATAATATTAAAACAAATTAAATAATGACAAAAAAAAATCCACACACACAGAAGCTTCTTTATACTGTAATTGAAACATAATGATCAGATTTAATTTGCAACGGCATACATCTAACATACATCTTTTATTTAAATTCAACACAAATAACTTGAATCTACACAGGGCCACCAAGAGAGGAGGAAAAGATCCCCAGGGCAAAAAAAAAAAATTGTTTGCGCCTTCGCGCAATCTTTCTCGCACTTCACGCTCGTAACTGGAGGCCCACACCGACCCTTGCGCCTGTTACAGTTTCCCCTCTTGGCGGCCCTGAATGTACATAAGGAATTATACATACAGTATACACATCTTGTGTAGACCTTTTTGTATTTGGAAAGGCCATAGCATCAAAAATATTTCATATCTTGTGAAAAGGTTTTTCAAACAGAGGATAAAAGGATTTATTTACCTTTAATGTCTCAGCAACCTTTTAATAATACATACAGCATTATAAATAAAAACTAAAGATTGATAAACAAGTAATATAATTTTATATTTCAAATATATTGCTATATAACTAATTTAGTAATAGTTGTAATAATGTTCTCAATGTTATGCATCTATTAAAATTGTTATTCTTTATTTTTACAATTGTTTTTTTTTTTTATTGCACATGCTGCCAACATTATTCTCTTCATTTACTTTTCTTAATAATATTCAAGTTTACAATACAAGTGGTAACAAACTTCAGCACCAACTCCTGTATACCAAATCCTGTAGGTCTACAGTTACCGTTTTTCAATCATCTCAAAAATCTACTCATGACTATCCTAACTTACATTCTGTGATATTTTGTTTTGGTTTCTCTATTTCTGGTAGGGGACGTCTACGCACAGTTGGTAATGTTCATTCTGCATTTACTGGGTCAGCGACAGGATATTCAATAATTTCCAATAACAAAATGCTATGAAAAAAAGTATATATTGTATTTATTAATGATTTGTACGAAACACAAAAATCTCATGCATATTAGAGGCGGCTAGGCTAAGGATTTAAATACTGTTGAATATTTTCCTCAATCTATTTATAGATCACAATTTATTAGAAAAATTAATACCAGGCCCTGAGATCATGCGCGATCCATCGCGGAATGCAGCTGCTGAGATCGAATATCTTAAAATGTAGGCCTAGGCATTGGAGAAGATCGACATCAGAATAGGCCTATGGGCCAATGGCTAGGCCAACCCCGACGCGACCCGATTATTTTTGTTGGCCTCACTTAACTTAAATAAATGAAATCCTACCGTTGAGCTGTATGCTTGTTTACCCTGTTGAAATATAGGACATGCCGTCTTCCACAAGCCATATTCCACTGACAGTAGGACTTTTTTTTCTCTTTTTTTGGCTTCATGGTTAAGGTTTCCTACTGCATAGTCATATCATCGACGTCACTTCTCGCACTGCACAAACTCGTAACTCGTGTGTTTGTGTGGAAAACGTGTTTGTAAACAGCGCTTATATGCCTTGTTCTGATTGGTTACTTGGAAGTTTGATTGACAGCCCGGAAAGGTCTATTGTCTACATGATAGACTAAAAACGTTTTTAGTATTAGCTGGCCCTCAATAATTTATCTGATTTTGTTTACTTACCTTAGATGCTATTGAGTGTGCAAGTCAGCCATGTAAGAATGACGCTACCTGCTTTGAAGGTGTAAATAGTTACACATGTGTCTGTAAACCTGGCTACTCTGGAATCCACTGTGAATGGGGTATGATAAAAATTGTTTATTAACAAAATTACAAACAATCTGAGCTCGATCCACACAGTCAAGTTTTTTAAGTGAAAACAAACCCTATGATATGCCCATATATGGATGTGATATATATGTATGATACAGTCGAGTTCGCCTAAGTCGAATCTAATGGGACTGGCATAAAAAGTTCGAGTTATACAGATTTCGACTTGCACATTTTCGAAAAAAAAAATATTAACATAGAACAATACTATGTGTACTCAATGCCCACAAAATCGAATTTCACACAAAACCGAACATTTTCTTAAGTCCTAAACTCATTCCTATTCTTCTTTTAATAAAATACTTTCTGAAAACATGAACTCCCTATTCCAAATCTCGGATGATTTGTCCAATTCAGGACGGTAACACTCACTCAAAAAACCAGACGATAGTTTAATAGACATCGTTTAACGACAAGCATTATACCAGACGCTGTGAAAACGAGATGCTTAGCTATACTCGCATTGCCATGGAGATTATCTGTTGATTAACATGACACACCAGTAGACGTTTTCTTGGTTAATTATGAAGTGAAATTTACGCATTCCAATGTTTTAATAAGTGTATATTCTTGCTTTT